CACCTTATGTAATGGATCCATGCTTTTTTTTTAAATTAAAAGTTTTTTATTAGATAAACATTAAAAACATTGGACATAGTGCAACATTTCTGGCATAAACGTTTCCATATAGTGATTAGATCTTACAACAATTACATTTTATATCCATTACATAAGGTGTGTGTAGTCAGTCAGATTACCTGTCCGTTGATCCTTTCTTATATGTAATTACTAATCATACAAATACATATCCTATTCCTACCTATTGCACATTCTTAATACCATATTTTCCAATTCTTTCCAATTCTTGTCTGTGTTTTTCTGTCCTGGCCTTTTCCCCTCATTTCTAACCAACGGTACCATTTGTCCCAGATTTTGTGATATTCCGTCTCACCCTCGTCTTTGAGCTCTAGAGTGGGAATGGATCCATGCTTTGATATGGTTGAGTTGGAAAGAATCCACCAAGGGTGATCTTCAAGGAGGGAGAGGATCCACATCTAGATGTAGTCAGTGGTTGCCCAGAAGGCAAACTCTTTGTAGGATTATCACAGGGGAGCCATTTTAATGGTTAAAATATCAGGGTAGAAGGCCAGGGACACTCTGAGTTCTAGTCCTACTTTAAGAATGAAAATTGACTTTGTCATTTTGGACCAATCACCTGGAGATTTTGAATTCTAATCCCACTTTAGGATTGAAAGTTGACTTGAGTGACTTTGGGTCAAAGCACTCTCTCTCAGCTCAACTCATTTTACACTCATTTTTTTAAAATAGGGAAAATAGGGGGAGGAAGGATTATTCGTTATGTTCACTGCCTTGAATTACTTATAAAAAATAATAAAAGCAGCATATAAATGATTAATTCTTAATATATTACAACTCAGCATAAACTAGCACTTCTTTCTCTCTGGGTAAAAAGTTAGTAGACCTTATTGCATATCTGATATGTAGGTTCATTTAATTTTTATATCAGTGGTGACTAAATATGTAGACAATGTACTCATGCAACATGCTTATCCGGGGAAGTCATAAAGCTGTTTGGTTTGGGTGGGTTGGTTGGATGATCCTATTCCATTTGATTAATATGAAGTGGAATGTATCATGCCAACCCAAGCAAAATTGATTATTCATGACCGGGTTAAGCTTATTGTGTGAACATCCAAATATTTGGTCAGCAAAGCAATCATTTGAGCCCCTGCTGCAGAAAGGAACACATTCTGTGGGGATGAAATATGATTTGGGCCCCCTACATAACCTTCCTTAGGGAAAAAAGAGCCGAGGTGGCGCAGTGGGTAGAGTGCAGTACTGCAGGCCACTTCAGCTGACTGNGGGTGGGCAGGGCCAACCAGGAGTGGGATTTGGGGGTTCTCCAAACTGCACAGAATCTTAGCTAGAGGTTCTCCTGAACCCCTGCGAGCCCCCAGCGGCCCACCCCCTCTTCCCATCTAAACCCAGGATGTTTTCGTATTTGTTCCAAGTTCATAAGCAGGTTGCTAGTTGGGATGCACTTTGGATTAAAATGGGTTTGGTAAGTCTTTTTCTGGCAAAAAAATGTCTTTCTTCCACATGTAATGCAGAGTTTTTCAACCTTGGCAACTTCAAGAGGCGTGAACTTCAACTCCAAGAATTTCACAGGCAGCATAGCTGGCTGGAGAATTCTGGGAGTTGAAGTCTACCCCTCTTCAAGTTGCCAAGCTCGACCAACACTGATCTTACCCATAGCCACTTTTGGGAGGCAAAAATTCTGTATTTGGTGTATAAGATGCATCCAGATTTTCAGCCTCTTTTTTGAGGGAAAAAGGTGTGTCTTATACTCCGAAAAATACAGTAGTCATGCTGGTTGAGGAATTCTGGGAGTTGAAGTCCACAAGTGTTACAGTTGCCAAAGGGAGGCTTCAAAATACATACATAATACATAAAAGAAGAGACAGACATCACGATCTCCGAAACTTAAAATATATTATCCAATTAACTTTTGTTAGCCTTTTTTTTTTCCATTTTTTTTTTTTTAGCCTCTGGTAACATTGTCAGCGTGTCTCTTCAATGGTAGTTTTTACACTTCAACAATGTTAGCAGTGGCTAATGAAAGCTAAATGGATAATATATTTTAAGTTCTGTCTCTTCTTTTATAGCTACACCTGGAACTTGTATTTTTATGATAGTTTGCAATACCTAATATATACAAACAAACAAACAAAGTAAACTCAAATCAAATCACACCAAACTGTTCTGGTTTTGTTCTCTGCAGTCCTTGATCTTCAATGATATTTTGAAGGCAGAAGCTCCGTGTTCAGAAGGTTATTCCATCAGTGATGGCAAGACGTAAGTGTGAAGATTTTCTCCTGGACTATTTAATCTTCAATAGAGAAAAAAATATACTATCTTTTTTTTTAAAAAAAACCAAGAACTTCCTACACTGCTGCACTGGGTTATACCTCTTTCCTATAAGTTGGGCTAACTTGAGAACAGTTGGAGATTTTCACACAAAAAGTTTCTCCTGAATCCATGAACCTACAATGATAGCTCCATTCAGCAATGGAGCTCATTTATTTTCAGCTCAGCTGTTGGGTATCCAACATTTATCCAACCCAGTTTTCCAATTGAAATCCTGGAGCTTTGTAGAGATTAGGGATGAGTTGGACTCCAGTGACAGAAACATTGGGCTGCCCCTTCTCCTTGGACTTTTGTTATCAAAACACTACAATTTCAAAATTTGCAGTTACATAGCAAACAGAGAGACAACAGGCACAGAGTCACTTGTGGCAATTCTCCAATATGCGCCAAAGCACCTGATAACAGTACAAGAAGCAATGGATGGATGCTAATCAAAGAGAGAACCAACCTAGGAGAAATTTTCCTGATGGTTAGAACAATTAATCAGTGGAACATCTTTGCCTCCAGAGATTCTGCGTGCTCTATCACTGGAAATTTTCAAGAAGAGACTGGACAGCCATCTATCTGAAATGATATAGGGTTTTCTGCTTCAGCAGGGGGTTCGCTAGAAGACCTCTAAGGCCCCTTCCAACTCTGCTGTTCTGTTATTCAACTGCAGTTGTTTTTTTTGAACATCATTAAACACATCAGGCTAGCATTGAAGATGGATGAGTTGTTGCTATTTTAAACTCTCCCCTATTGATTAGTGGAAAAGGTGTTCTAGTTAGTACATGAGCTGGGATCTGTCCAGCTTTGTAGTCTTGTTATGTTGGCGTAACTATAACATTGAAGAAAACCATGTTGGCTCTGAAATGATTCCTTTTGTGTTTTGCCAAGTAAAATCCCTTTCTCTTTCTTCAATATTTCCATTCCAGTGACTTTGAATACACCTTGGGATCTCCCAAAGCTATTCATATCAAGGCAGGTGACTCACCTATGGCGTACCTCAACAAAGGACAGTTCTACCCGGTGACTCTGAGGACAGTTGGAGATGCCAAATGTTTACACTTGTCCTCAAACAAAGTGAAGGTAAGGGACATGAAGCCAAGGATCTACCAAAAACATAACCTCTGTGAGGTTCGTTTTCAGAACTACTCCAGCCACTGTTGTTGTTAGTTGCAAAGTCGTGTCCGACTCATCATGACCCCATGTACAACGTTCCTCCAAGACTTCTTGTCCTCTACCATCCTTTGGAGTCCATTTAAGCTCACGCCGACTGCTTCAATAACTCCATCCATCCACCTCATTCTCTGTCGTCCCATTTTTCTTTTGCCCTCAATTGTCACAAGCATTAGGCTCTTCTCCTGGGAGTCCTTCCTTCTCATTAGGTGGCCAAAGTATTTGAGTTTCATCTTTGGGATCTGGCCTTCTAAAGAGCAGTCAAGGTTGATCTCCTCTAGGACTGACCGATTTGATTGCCTTGCAGTCAAGGGACTCGCAGGAGTCTTCTCCAGCACCAGAGTTCAAAGGCCTCCATTCTTTGGCCCTCAGCCTTTCTTATGGTCCAACTTTCATAGTCATCCATGCAACTGGGAAAACCAAAGCCTTGACTATACGCACTTGTGTTGGCAGGGTGATGTCTCTGCTTTTTAGTATGCTGTCTAGATTTGCCATAGCTTTCTTCCCCAGGAGCAAGTGCCTTTTAATTTCTTGGCTACAGTCCCCATCTGCGGTGATCTTGGAGCCCAGGAAAATAAAATCTGACACTACCTCCATTCCAGCTAATAGCCATGGAGAATTCTAAAGTCATTATCAATCCTGAAATGTTACTCCAAAGTTGATTTTGTTTTTGCAAATGGATGCATAAATAAGCATTTTGTAGATGTTAACAGAGTATATGTGGGCTTCCTTCCCTTTTCCAGAGTGTGGTGATGGTAGTTTTCGACAATGAGAAGATTCCAATGGAACAGCTCAAATTCTGGAAACACTGGCATTCGCGCCAACCGACAGCGAAACAGAGAGTCATCGATGTTGGTATGGAGTGTAACTACTTCAGCGTTTCTTGTCCAAGACAACATCAAAAATGGATAGGAGGGCTTTCTCCCAAACAACTAATCTGATGTCTATGGAGATTCTCAGTCATCCAGGTCATGGTTGTCCCAAAGGTGCTTTTTCAAAAGGCAGATGATCTTTGTTTTTCCTTGAAGACATTTTGCTTCTCCTCCAAGAAGCTTCTTCAGTCTGGAAAAAAGCACCTTTGGGACAACTAATCTGGTAGACTTTATGTGAGCTGCTTCAGGTCCATGGGGCTGGGGCCATTCCCCACTATGATGGAGGCACTTCTACTAATTTGTATTGCCCATCTCCATGATCTTCTCCTCCTCCAGCTGTTTATGGAGATGGTGGCGAGGGCCAAGAATGTCATTCATCATCTGGGATAGACTATGGCCATCCTTGTGACATCCTTGTTCAGAGTAGCTATTAAGATGGGTGGAAGGTAGAACTATCCTAGATCTTAGCCACTAAATCCAGAAGAAAGTTTAGGAGTAGTTCTGAGGAGTAAATATGGAGTTATCACATCTTTTTAAGTTAGCGATAGTTAAGTAACTGCACCTGATCAAGTCAAGAAATAAAAGAAATGTTTTTTTTTTAATCTCTTTTAGCTGACTGTAAAGAGAATTTCAATACTGTGCAGCATATTGAAGAGGTAGCTTACAATGCCTTATCCTTTGTCTGGAATATCGCTGAAGAAGCAAAGGTAGGCTTGAGACACCAACAAGAGTACCATTTTTGAAAACTGGCTCTTAATTAATTCAATAAGGAAAAATTTGGTTTAGCAAATTATTTAAAGTAGAAAAATATCTAGAAGAAATTCACATGAGTGGAGTGGTATGGTGTGTTGTGGTGGGCCCAAGAGTTGTGTGTTAATGCCCTGGACCATCCTCCATCCTCCAGCACATTCCTGTCTCCCTGGCTTCCCTCGTTAAATTCCATTAAATAGTTGCAAGAGAAGTCAACACTCTTCTCATCATTTTTAAGTCATTGTGTTATTGTCACCCTAAAGAGCAAGTCCTGTCTCAAGGAAGCCCTTGAGAAATGGTTGGAGAATTTCTCCCTCTCCTGAAGAAATTTGGAAAAATGGGCCACCTAATTTTTATATCCACAACTTTGGTAGAGATTTGGGAAAACATCACTTTGAAGTAAATAATCTTTCTCCTTTGGTGGTTACATTGATATTTTCACTTTCACCTTGGTTAGGAGTGCCTTCTCTGAGCACTTAGTCTAGCCCATTGCAATAACACCAATCCACCCATTGGACACCACCAGAGCTTCAGGTGACCCCCTCTTCCAAGGCTACAATGGAGCTAGATAGAACCATAATGCTTCCCATTCGCTTTTGCAGGTGTTCATTGGTGTGAACTGCCTGAGCACAGACTTCTCCTCTCAAAAAGGTGTGAAGGGTGTCCCACTGAACCTCCAGATTGACACTTATGACTACAGCACTGGGACAAACCGGCTGGTCCACCGAGCTGTCTGCCAGATCAAAATATTTTGTGATAAGGTAAAGTAAGGGGAGCCTTTGGCAAAAGTGTGTGTGTGTGTGTGTGTGTGTGTGTGTGTGTGTGTGTGTGTGTGTGAGAGAGAGAGAGAGAGAGAGAGCATTAGTCAAAGAAAAACAAAAGAGGGATTTCTATACACACACACAGAGAGAGAGAGAGAGAGAGAGAGAGAGAGAGAGAGAGAGAGAGAGCGCTCCCGTTACTTGTCCCAGCTTTTAGCAGTTCGAAAGGATGTAAAAAATGCAAGCAAAAATAGCAACCCCTTTGGTGGGAAGGTAACAGCGATCCGTGCGCCTTTGGCGTTTAGTCATGCCAACCACATGACCACAGAGAAGTCTTCAGATAGCGCTGGCTCTTCGGCTTTGAAACAGAGTCGGGAGCGACTAGCACATATGTTTGAGGGGAACCTTTACCTTTACATTAAAAGAATTTCACAGCCTGAAAGTGCAAGTCTCCTGCTGTCACTTTTACAGCCTGAGAACCTAAGGAGGGAAGGTGCCTCTTGACTCCCTTGTTCCACCCACTGTGCAGTTGTGGGCCATGCTCCCTCTTCTCTGACCATTCCTTTGGCAGTACCTCTTCCATCTCCCAAGGTCTTTCCCACACACCATTCCATTAAAAGAAAATGCTCGTAGATCTACCCTTAGCAGCCATGGATGTGAGAGTGAGATTGTGGCTTCTCTCCTCTTCCAGGGAGCAGAGAGGAAAATGCGGGATGATGAACGCAAACAGTTCAGGAGGAAAGGAAAATGCCTGGATGCGAATAATAATGGTGAGTAGACGTGGAGTAGCAACTCCTTCAAACTTTTTGGAAAAGGGCCTTCGTGGATTGGTACCAGGCCATGCAGGGATAACGGCTATCAGAGGCGACCGTAAGGTATGGTCAAAAGAAGTCAATAGGGCAGCCACAGCAGTCAATCAAACTCTGCTCTTTATGTGTCTGTTCCTTATAAAAAAATACCCTCAGAGCTTCAATTGTTCCATTGTGACCGCTATCTTGATGTTTTTAACCACACTTTGCAGTTCAGTGCCCTAGTTGTAGCAATAGCAATAGCAATAGCAGTAGTAGACTTATATACCGCTTCATAGGCCTCTCAGGCCTCTCTAAGCGGTTTACAGAGAGTCAGCATATTGCCCCCAACAATCTGGGTCCTCATTCTGGGTCCTCATAGTTCAGTGATGGCGAACCTTTTATCCACTGGGTGCCCAAATTGCGCACACGGACAGGCCCAAACTGAAAGGCAGGTGTGCGCGTGTGCAAATACACCCATGCATGGATAGGCACATGTGCATGCGCAGACATGCACACATGTGCAGCAGAGACCTGAAGACCAGCTGGCCGGCGGGAGGCAGGCATCCCAACACCGGCAGCATGGCAAGAGCTAAGATCTTTTTCTTTCGTGAGCTCCTGTTCCATTGTTTGCTGGGAAACAGACGCTCACCAAAAAAGCCACAGAGATCTGACCTGGAGCGACAGCACACGTACCTGCAGAGAGGGCTCTGCATGCCACCTCTGGCCATAGGTTCCATAGGTTCACCATTACAGCTCTAGTTTCTAGGAAATTAAATTCCTGACGCTTCATGTTTTTGAGCTGCTTTCCATCTTTGCACAACGCCAGAATCAGAGATGGAGCTGATCACGGGGGTTAGGGTTAGGGTTATGGACCTTTGCGGTCTCACCCTGCCATCTCTTTCAGCAACTGAGGCAGCTCGGGGACAAAGTACCGCATGAAAGGCCAACTTTCTCTATGAAAAGTGAAGCTCCGTAGCAGTTCTCCATGCGTGGGAACGTCTGCCTCGCCCTGCCTCAGTAGTTCCCACGGTCCGGCAACCCACCCTTTCTTCCCTCCCTTTAGAGCAGCGTCCCCCAACCTCTCTGGGTTGGTGGCCCTGATCAGGGAGGGGGGAAAGAGGGGATGGTTTGTGGGAGGGGCAGGCACATATGCCATTGCTCGCACAAGTGGGGCCATGAGGGCCCGGGACACTCATGCAAGTGAGCCACGAGTGCCTGCAATGTTCATGCAAGTGAACCCCCAAGTGCTCACAATGCTCACATGAGTGGGGCTGTGCACTCCAGCCACCCTCGTGGCTCAGTTGTGAATAGGCCATGGACCGGTAGTGGGCCACTGCCCATAGTTTGGGGACCCCTGCTTTAGAGGCTGAGATACGATAGTCAGATTGAGAAACCCTCATTTCATGGGTCTTTTAAAAACAACAAGGTGGCTTGGTGGCTTTTCAACTCTCCACTGTAGCAACTGTTCAGATGGGGGCTTTGATTGAGTTACATACAGGTGGCCCTCAACTTACAACATTGAATAGGACCAGAATTTCTATTGGTAAGCCAAGCAGTTGTTAAGTGAATCGAGCCTGATCATTTTGTTGTGAAACGGTTGTTAAACGGTGGCTGTTAAGTAAATCATGTGTGGTCGTTAAGCAAATCTGACTTTCCCCATTGACGTTGCTTGTTGGAAGCCAGCTGGGAAGGTCGCAATTGGACATCACTTGACCCCAGGATGCAGCAACCGTTTTAAGTCCATGTTGGCAGTCCAGCACCTGATTTTTCTTTTTTAATCCCATGACTTTGGAGATGCTGCAATGGTTAGAAGTGTAGCGACTGGTTCTAACCCCAGTAGGCCAACCATGGTTAAATCCAAGAAAATAAATGTTGTAGAAGAAAACAGAACATTTAATTCAACTACATATACTAGTTTTGTGGCTGCTCAGGAAATAGTCAGTCACGGGAAGGGTTTTGTGGCTCCCGGTGTTTTCTTTCCTGTGGGAAAATGGCTCTTTGAGTGTTTAAGGTTGCCGACCCCTGAGCTAGACTGATCTGGTGCCCTCTAGACAAATCAATGCAATTCTAGTAACCTCCAGCTGCCCAAGACTCTGGCCATCGGCTGCTGGACTGCTGGACAGTTTGCACATTCCACCTAGAATCCAGGCCAGGCCAAGTTAGCCCAGCCCCAGCTGGATTTAAAGTCCTATTTTAAAACCCTTTCTCTTTGCTTATTCTATTTTATTTATTTACCTAGGGATGGGATCTAGTAGACCCCATAGGTTAACACAGGCCCTCTGAGAAGCTTACAAAACAAATCCATATTCAAAACATAATAAGTAAGATGTCAAATAAAAACAGCCATAAAAACTACAAAAGGGAGAAAAGCAAACGGGCGGTCACCGAGATTTTTTTTTTTTTTAAAAAAAGCAGCTGGAACCAGTTTCGAGAGCCTTGTGATTGCTCCGACACCTCAAGGAAGCCTGGGCACATTCTGCCTAGGGCCTTCAAGATAGCCAAGAAAGAGCCAGGGGAAAATCCCCGGAGTAAGAGCTTCGTTGTATGGATGCCACAGCCTGGAGGCTTGTCATTCCAGTAACCACCAGTCAGGTTTCCAAAAATGGGGAGGCTATAAAGAACCTGTAAGAACCTTTGAGTTGACCATGAGGGTCATATAGGAGAAGGTGGTCTTTAGAGATCTCTTTTGGGACCATCAACGTGACCTCCATCTTCTGTTCCTTTCTCTAGTCCTTAGAGATTTATTTTGGGAATACCAACATCACCTCCACCTTCTGCTCACTTCTCTCCTCTGCTCTTCTTTTCTTTGTTCACCTTTCTGGGGTTTGCGGTTGACAAACGCATCTTCTTGGTTTTGATCTCAGTTTAGTAATCAATTCTTGAAGGATCTCTTGAAATGATTGTTGCCAGAAAATTGAGTTACAAGGTTTCTTGCCTTTCATGAGACAATCTACAAGCACAACTTTACCAATCTTAAATGGGGTTGAGTATATTACAAACAAACTTTGGATTCTCCAAGATGCCATCTATGAAATAGCAATAGCACTTAGACTTATATACCGCTTCATAGTGCTTTTACAGCATATTGCCACCAACCATTTGGGTCTTCGTTTTACCCATCTCGGACAGATGGAAGGCTGAGTTAACCTTGAGCCGGTCAGGATCGAATTCCTGGCAGTGGGCAGCATTAACCTGAAATACTGCCTTCTAACCACTGCACCACTGTGGCTCTTAGAATAGTCTCAGAAGGCTTTCAAATGGATGGTTTTGATGTGTTAAGACACTGCTGTATTAGATTAAAGACTATTTGTTTACAGGCTTGTTAAAGTAGCTTTTCAGCTTCTTAGATGAATTTATTTATCTTCGTACCAAAAACTATACACCACATATTTCACAGGACTCTTGATGGTTTACACCAGTGGTCTCCAACCTTGGCAACTTTAAGACTGGTGGACATAACTCCCAAAGCTGACTGAGGAATTCTGGGAGTTGAAGTCCACAAGTCTTAAAGTTGCCAAGGTAGGAGACCCTTCGTTTACACCACCACAAAGGAAAATGCCAATGTATAAACAACCACAGAGAACAATTATAACCAGAATTACAGGCCTATCTCTAAGGAAAGCCCATCAGCATTAGGGCCCATAGTTTCTGAGATATAAAACATCTTAAGAGCCGTCTTAAAGGCCAGAAGTTTAGGGGCACCAATGTTCTTGGCGCACCCAAGAATGTTTCCATTTAGAAGTAACTCCTGGGTTACCAGCCCCAAGGCGATATTTGCAGGCCTTCTACCGCTTCTTGCTTAATGTTTTTTGGTTCTTGGTTCACGCAGGGAGGGGAGGGGCAGGGAGGAAGAACACGGAGTTACAAGCGGGATCATAAATTTCTATGGTTTTGTAAGATGCCTCGTGGGACTGTGTAGCCCTGCTGAAAAGCAGAGGAGCAGTTAGTATGAACAAACTCTGAAACTGTCCTCCAGCTTTTCATGGAGGAATGGAGAAAGCAGGTGAATTCGTAATGTCCCTTGATGGTCAAGGCATCCCTTTTTATGAGCTTTTCTCAAATAGCCATTCTGCATTCAGTCAGCCTGTGCAGGGGTGAAATCAGCTTATCTTTGCTAGCGGTTTGCAAAAGTGAGCGCATACGCAGAGCATCAAAAACGGGACGTGATGACGTCCAGGTGGGTGGGCAGAGCTTCCTGCCCCCACCGCTACCAGTTCGCCTGAACTGGATAGAACTGGCTGAATTGCACTACTGACCTGTGATTGTGTAATAGACAATTTAAAAAACACTAACTGCAACCAAAAAGAATAGGGATAACCACCTAATACTAGAGAAAAGAGAAACATGCAAACATTTGGTTTCTTATTAAACCGATTTATATGGCCCCCTAACTCATAAATAAATAAGTCTGGGCAATGTTCAACAAAGCTAAAAATTGTGAATAAATATATTTTAAAAGATATAAAAACCACAGTAAAAGAATAATAGAAGGGATGTTAAAAATAACAGAGCCACCTTACTGATATCAAATTCCCATTTCAGTTACTCAGATATTTTAAAATGTTGGTCAATTAATCCTTTGATGGTGAGATTTCATCAGCTGATATAACAAGTATACAACATAAATAATTCTTTTAATGTTTATTCATTAACTATATGAGTGGGCTGAATTCTGAAAGCAGAGTTAATTTATACATTATTTTTTTAAATAAAATTCCCCTCTTAAGTATGCTTGTTTCAATGTGTATAAATGGATGCTCTCCACATGTATTGGACTACAATACCTATCATCTGTGATCAGGTTGCTCCTCCCA